GTACAAGTGATCAAGTAGAGTATCGTGTTTGGGATTATCCCATTAAAGAACAATATGGACATATATTACAAGCTATCACTCAAGTTGGACCAGTTAAATCTATGGAAGAAGGTTTCAGAAAAGTAAATAGATTTATTTTGATTTTTAAATAAATCACACATTAATAATTTTAAACAAAATCAAGGAAAAGTTTTTGGTTGAGTCAAATGGTCATTGGTGATTTAAAATGCTTTAATTATTGGTTTAATTATTTTTAATTTTTATTTATTTTTTAATTATTTTATATTTTTTAATTATTATTCTTTAATTATTATTAATTCATTTAAAACAACTAAGTAATTACGGATTTCACCAATCATTTTCCTTGAAAAATTCGCAATTATTTAATTGTCAACTAAAATATATTTTTGTCAATATTTTATAAACTTATAATTATACGATTTTGAATTTTCAAGTTGAGATATTGTAGTTTTTAAATCTGATAATAATGTTAGTTTAGAAAATTTCTAGAAAGTTTAATTAAAATTTGAAATCATTGTAAGAATTTTTGGAACATTTTTTATTTATCTATATTATTGAAAAATAATTAATAATAATACTAATTATGATTATTTTATTATGTATTTTTATAGGTGATAGAAAGTGAGAATGCTGAATTTGCATTTATTCATGATTCATCGCAAATCAAATATGAAGTTACAAGAAATTGTAATTTGACTGAAGTAGGTGAAGTGTTTGCTGAACAACCCTACGCCATTGCAGTTCAACAGGGTAGTCATCTGCAAGAGGAAATAAGTAGAAGGTATATTATATAATTTATTTATCATTTGTTATATAACGTGTCTGAAATTTCTTCCTACATACGTTGTGAGTGTATATACATATATTTACATTCGAACATGTATTTTTACATGTTCACATGTTCACAAACGTCAACATGTTTCAAAACGTTCACATTGTTCACAAAAACGAACATATATAAATTCATTATATACATATATATAATGAATTTATACTTTATTATATATAATTATGTTTGTGTTCTTGTATTTTTAGAATACTTGATTTACAAAAGGATAGATACTTCGAAACTTTGGCGTCTAAATATTGGAATCAATCTTTGAAAGCTCAATGTCCTAATTCTGATGATAGCGAGGGCATAACTTTGGAAAGTTTAGGTATTTTTATTATTATATTATATATTTTTGGAAGAAATAAAATTATAATAACAATGGCGGGATTTGGTATTTGCGGCAATGAACTTTCGAGTTCCTAACGCCAACTTATAATAATAATAATAATAATAATAATAATAATAATAATAATAATAATAATAATAATAA